GACAGTGTACCCCATCGTGCCAAACAAAAAGAGAGGAGAGAAGTGTGAGAAACATTGTGCACAATGGTATACCCTGTCGTGCCAAACAGAAAGAAAGAAGAGAGGGGAAGAGGAAAGAAGAAGAGAGAGAGAGGAAGGAAGAAGAGAGAGAAAGAAAAAAGAAGAGAGAGAAAAGAAAGAAGCAGAGAGAGAAAGGATAGAGAAGAGAGAGAAAAGAAAGAAGTAGAGAGAGAAAAGAAAGAAGAGAGAGAAAGAAGAGAGAGAAAGAGTAGAGAGAAAGAGTAGAGAGAAAGAAGAGAGAGAAAGTAGAGAGATATAAGAGAGAGAAAGAGAAGAGGAGATAGAAAGTTACCTTGGCCCCAAGGGTACTCGTCCAAAAATCTTCTCTCTCCTCCCTCTCTCCCTCCAAGCAAAGAGAAACGTGACCTAAGATTCAAAGAGAAGCCCAAATTTTTTTATACAAAGAAGGGTCCATTTCATGAGCACATCACGTGCTTATATAGATTTTAAGTCCAAACATAGGTGGATGCCCAATTCTTAACCTAATTGTGGGAAAATAGGAATTAAATTATTTAAAGAAAATTAAGAAATTAGGGGCAACCCACGGATCCTGAAATTCCAAGTAAGTCCCTGTCATGGCCATGCAACCTTTGCTATCTTCCGGAATTCATTTGGTGTCCTTCCGATCTTCATCTGGCTAAAAGATTACTACTTTTTTTATTGACTCGGGAAGACGGTCGTTTTGATACCCATTTCCAGCCATAGATCGAACTTTTGGGCCATGATCACAAGGCGTAAAAATCATGAGAAATATGCGATCTTTGATCCAATATCACGCCCATTTCTCAGGATTTTTCCACAATTTCTTCACTGCATTTTGACTGGCATGTCGTCATGAGCGTTTGGCGACGAATGTGGCTCGATTTGGTGTCCAAATGACCATTTTCCAAATTTGGTATTTTGGTTGGAGTTTGGTTTCTAGTGGCCAAAAATTGCAGTAATTTTGACTTCATCGTGATGCGAATCTGACCATCCCTCATGCGAGTTTGACTCATACAAAGCCTCTGACCTCGTGCTCGCAATGGATCTGGTTTGAGGCCGATCTGACATGCGAGGGTCGTGATGTGGCTGCTCGATTGAGGCGTGCTCTTGTTGAAAAATCTGCAATCTTGTCTTGAATCACAATCTTCTCTCTAGTTTTTCTCCCTGCTTGGGCCACGACATGGGTGATGCCACATATCGAAATGCTCGGGTCAACAAGACCAACATGCTCTCAAAATTTGAGCTTGATCTGACATAGGACGAGAGAGATATGGCCTTCCATAGTTCAGCATGAAACCTAAAAATACAATTTCCATTAATGGAAAGTGGTTCACTGAGGGTGCACGGTAATAGCATGTGACTTACCTGTTTTGGGTAATTTGGCTATAACTTGGTCCAGAAACGTCCGATAAAGTCGAAACTTGGTCCCTATGGGTTTTTGGATGTTTCAGATCCGATAGCGGTGGTCCCATGGCCATTTGATGCTCCGGTGATAGAGATGTAGTTTACAAGGTTCATTTCCATGGCGATAGAGGCCGTTTTTCCAAAACTGTTTCTAAGTTTGCCTTAAACTCACCGGATTACGATAAAACATGGCAGGTATTCTTAGGAGACTTTTAGATACGTTTCTAAACTTTCTTGGGCCATTATGAGACTTTTGAAAATTTCACTTATGGATCAAGGCTTATTGTCATATGGTTTCCGTAGTCCAGAGGCATTTTTGTACCTACTGACCTAGGTCGCAAACTGCTTTCTCCTTATTTCCATCGGAGATACAAGTATTGAAAAATACCTTTAAACAATGGCGTCTTCAGAAATGGGGATGGTGACTTTATTGCTGCTTTCCCCACACCTTTTGGTATTGCATTCAACGACTTTAGAATGTTTTGCTCCTAAAGAGGATATTGACCTAGCCATTTAGTCAAATTGTTTCCCTTTGCAAATTGAAAGTGACTCTTCTTTGCTTGCCAATTTTATTCGAGAATTGTAGAGCCCTTTGGGCTCTTCACACAGTAGCAGTCAATTGCAGACATAGACATATATCTTGAAGATAACATGGTGGCTTATAAACTTGCCAAGAAAGCTTCGGCCTTCTCTGATGCTATAGTTTAGTGTTCTAGATCGCCGGACTTGATTTCTCTCTTTTGCTTTATGATTTGGCACAATTGCCCTATTGCAAGGTTGTAAAAATATGAGTTGTATTTCTATATTTCTATTAGTGAAAAACGGGTAGAGGCCTTCTCCCCTAGACTTATCCAAAAAGAAAAATCTCTAGTGATCCGAGCCAACAAGAATCTATGGCTATGGGTGAGCCTCCCCTTTCTATGGTGTCAACTTTGAGGCCTTTAAGAGCCCTTTTCTCCCCGATGGTCAAGGAATCACCCAGCCACAGGAAGAAGTGAACCAAAAGTAGCATGTAGCCACATCGACCGTTTAGTGTCATGATGGTGAATCAAGTTATGGAGCCCCTTGACGATTAGAGGACACAACTCAAAGCCATGATGGAGCAGTTAAAAGCAAGAATACATGTGAAGGATGCCATGATAGAAAGTGTTCATGGTGCCTCCGAGGCTAGAAATGTTTAGCGAACACACCAAACTAGCCACCATACCTGGCAACCAAGTTGTAGCGCCAAGGGCACCATCTTCCCAACCCTCCCCTCCGTCACATATAGTCCCCTCTTCATCGACTTATTGTGTGGATGCAAATCTGGTGAGGGCCATGTTATCAGAAGAGTCAAGGAAACTGCAAATTCAGGTGTCAAAGAGCCGACCCCTTGTCAAAAACCCTACCCAGCTATTTTTTATGAAACCCCATTTCCCCCGAGTTATCAAAGATCTGATTTTCTTTTTTTTCATAGAATCAAAGACCTGATTTTCACAACAAATATGATGGCACAAGTTCTCCATAGCAGCATATTGCTCTTTGTGTCTACTTGCGGAGGTATGGCTAGCACTGACTACTAGTTACTTACACAATTCGTGGAATCTCTCTTGGGAGCTGCTTTCAAATGGCACTCTTGGCTCGGCAACCTCGATAACTTCTAGGCGGCAAATGCAAAAAGAATTCCTCAAGCGATTTTACAACATAGAAAGGGAAGTACGCCCAGTATAAGCTAGTGGAAACGATCATGGAGAGTAATTACGATGAAAAGCCCACCCTTTTGCATTGCAAGATGCGGGCATCGTCCCCAAGCGGAAACAATACGGCAGAATGCCTCCACCTAAATCTGGCTCGGCACACGATGCAAGTGACGCTATTTTGTGGCTATCCCATCACACCGCAAGAGACAAGAAGTTATGGAACGTGAAGTTAAAGAGTACATTTGATTCAACATGAAACGGGTGTGTTACGTATGTAAAACCAGTTTGCAGGAAAGATTCTCAAGCATTTTTTTCTCATGTTTGGTAAACACGTCTGGAAAACATTGTAATCGATTCGATATGTCTAAGCGTGAGAGACAAGAGCACGGATATGCAACAGGCGATGCCAGTCCAGCCCTAGCCCTAGCTTGGCATGGTCCCCATAAGTATGGCCAAAGCCCTGTATGGCCCAAACTGGGCCGAAGATGCGTTACCCCTATTAGGGATAGGTTGGGCCAACTACAATCAAAGAAATAATTTAAGTTAAAAAAAAAAAAGGGAAAAAGTATCAGACCGAGCTGGGCCTGACCGGCCCTGTTGGCTCTGGCACAAGCTCAGCCACACCTAGTCCTCGAGCCATGATCGGCTGGCCCGGCCCTCAGGCTACATTTTTTGCAACCCTGTTTTTTTGGGCCAGACTTGTCTACCGGCCCATTGTCAGCCTTAGGATACACGCTATCTGCCTGAGGGATTGAGAAGTAAAGGGGTAAATAAAAATCAGGTCCACTAAAAATTGTTTTTACGTGAAGTTACTGCACACCTCTTGCTATGAGTTGTTTTATATGGAATGGACTATTATGTGGTAAACAACTTTCGTATGGGAGAGCAGGCATGCGTAAAGCAGATTTCATATGCTAACAGTTCAAAAAATTGTGGTTTCTTGTCACAAGGATCGTGTAGATTCTTATTGGCTGGAAAAAAAAAAAAAAAGAAAAAAAAAGCACAAAACAAAAAGCCAAAAAACTAAAAAAAACAAAAAACAAAAAAAATAAAAAAAACAAACAAACAAACATTGATAAAAACTATAAGTTGATTGTGCTCTTCATCTGTTATTTCTTCATAATTGTATGTGGTTTTTTCTGTGAAAGTCGAAAACAGACAAAATCCAAACCATCCCCAAACTTGGCAAAAGCAGCCAAAAAAAGAAAACGAAATGGACCCTGAATTGAATTTTGAAAAGGGGGCGAGTGCATACAATGCAGAAAGGACTCTGCAAGCATGGAAGCCAGCAAGCATAGGAAGGCGCACACAGTCGTACAGCCCTTCCATCAACCCTCATATGTTTTTTTTCCAACCCATTGTTTCTCATCCTTCAAACAAGTGAATGCCCTGCTTCATTCCATTCGTATTCACAATTAACAAACTCAAACAATAATTCTCCCCAAAAAAGAAAAAACTAAGCTCATAAACAATTAGAGATGTTGCACTAGGTGATCCTGATAGCCCACCTCTTCACTCAAATCGATTGACCTGTTTGGTTCAATTGGCTTGGGCAACATCATATCAAACGTCTTTACAATAGAGAAATACCATTAATAACCATAAAAAATCCCTTTAGTAAAGATTATCTTATCAATGAACGTATGTTCCATATCATCATACATTTTTAAAACAACTTTAACCAAAAAAAAAGTACACTTTCAAAAGACCAATTATATTACATTAAAAAGATCAATTATATTCAATGATTAGTCACTACTGATACAAATTTCTGTTAATCTTTTCATAGATTCATGTGGCCAGGCACAATATATGTGTGTACATGTGCAGGGGTGCAAGGGGATCGAAAACATGCATGTAATTCAGGGGCTCAGGTGCCTAAGGGTGAACATCCTGAAGAAAATCATGTATTACAAATTTCACTTTATGCCCAACCATTGTCTGTAACCAGCACCTATCATACCTAGTTGCATGGTCAAATGCCCAAAGGAACACAAGAGTTCCTCAATTCTTATTTTCTTTGGTTTAGTGGGGACAGCCCTCAGCATAGGGACCACACGGCTATTTTTCAAATTTTTTATTCAACAGCACAAATACAATGACTTGAGAAGAAATGAGGAGAGAAAAGATGCTCTCTCAGACTCCGCATTACATTGAAAACATTATATCTACACTATGCATAGTAATTTAGGCTCGCCTCCTTCTTAGCCTGCACTCGAATGATCCCTTCATTGAAATCTTCATGGATAACCTGAATCAATTTTACACAACCGCTAAGAGATATTCATATAAAAGTTCAGGGCTCAAGAAGAAAAAAAAAACCATTGAGTTCTCACACTAGAGTATTTGCTAACAGCATAGAAAAAATTGCAGCAGCCAAATAGTCATGCAAGCCTCTTCATAATTTAAATGGCAGTGCAATGCATGCTAGTCCGATTGCCGGCCATCTAAAAACTGACATCAATAAAATAAAGGATATCATAGATGACAGAGTAGTACCTCAGTTGCGTTTCGTCGCAATGCTAGCATGCCAGCTTCAAAGCAAACAGTTTTCAACTGTGCCCCATTAAAATCATCAGCAAAACGTGCTAGCTCTTCAAAATTCACATCAGGATGCACATTCATTTTCCTCGAATGTATCTGCAACGATGTAATGTTTAAGAAGACCACTACCCAAACCACAAATAGAAACAAACATAACCAGACAAATAATTTAGTGGATAAAAACTGATATTTTTTTGGAGAAACAGAACTAGGAAAAACCTCAATATTTTACTTCTTTCTTTGTTTCTTTTTTTTTATTTGTGAATATGCTCAATATTTTACCTCTCCCAAAACTGCCACTAAAGTTTTTCCTTTCACTGATGCCATTTTTTTAAAAAAAATTATAATCCCTCAAAAAGCCCTCTCTTTTCTCAAACCAAACAACCAAAAACACTCCCTCCCTCTCTCTGGAGTCAATGGTTTGCTGTTCGGTAGAGAAAGAGAGCTTTAAGTTCATGGTTTCCAAAGAGAGATGAGAGAGAATGTCTTTAAGTTTGCATGAAGCATAGGATTTTTTGATTTGAGGAGAGAGATAAAACATTTGGTTAGAGAGAAATTTGCAGAGAAGTTTTTGTCTAAGCTTGGGTAGAAAGAAGGATTTGGGTTTCATGATTTCGCGTAGTGAGAGATAAAGATTTGGGAAAGGGAAGTACATTCTTGTATTGGGTTTGTAAAGCGGGAAGAAAATTTAAGAAACTAAATGATTAGAAAAGCCAAAAATGTAGCTTTATGCAGGAAAATGTGCAATTAGGTGGCAGTTGGCATTTATGCAGGAAAATGGCACTTTGGTGGCAGTTTTATGGTTTGCCAAAAAATTGGTTGTACATTTTTGGGTATGCAGAAACTTGGGTGGCAAAAGTGATGTTTTCCCTAATAAACTAATGCTAAATAACCACACACCTGCAAGATTTTCACCCTTGCTTCTTCAGTTGGGTGAGGGAACTCTATCTTGCGATCTAGACGTCCCGAATGCATAAGAAGCAATATCTGCTCGATTGGTTGCCGCTATGACCTACAAAAAAATCCACATTGCCTAGGAATGTTGAGCGCAAATCAGAAAGATAATAAGCCAGATAAATTCTATCTAAATATTATTAAAAAAAAGAAATGCTAAGATCTTGTCAAATGGCCCTAAAAAATGAACTTCGTTATATTGTTACCACTCTTTGAATAGCCATATGAATCAATACAAAACCAATGATGACCAGTTCACAACCTCCAAGTACTTAATAACTCCCTCTTAACAAAATTAATGGAAAATAAATATGATTACAGGCAAAGGTAAACAATTTTTTCAAAAATCTCAGCAAACACAATAATGAACAATACAAATTTTGGATGATAAACTGAATTAAAATGTTGCATATAAGGTGAACTAGTTCCATCAGTAAATCTGCTCAAGCCACTTTGTGCCAGAGACTACTGCTACTCAGATACCACTGCTCATTTGGAACAGGTTAACAAATTGAGCCTTCCAATTCTGAGAAAATTGCTGTTGCTAGGTTACCGACTCCAGCCTAATGGTTGGGCACCCCTAGTCTTGTACCCAAGCTTGTCATTTGAACCCCACTAAACAAAAGAAAATAAATAAAACAAATTCTCCCTTGGAAACCTTGTGCATTCAAAGTCTATAATGCATCCCAGGCCAGAATCTTCCAAGACCGAGACAGAGATATACCCTTCCATCCACTGATAATTCACTTGCCAATATGCACAGAAGCCCCACCCAAAGAGATGAAAGCATTGAGAAGCAAGATCAAGATCAAACCAACATTGGGTTGAACAACAACCTTCCCCAAGGATTCAGCTCAACCCCAACAGTAATCCAATTAAAAAAACAATCACCTAAGAGTAGCAGCCAGCCCACACAACCATAGTTTCAAAAAGAGCTAGGCGGGTCCTGGGCGGCCTGGGGGGTCCAGTCATCGGTCATTACTGTGCAACCATATAAACCCCACACATAAGTGTGGGTCTTCAAGTAGTTATTCATTTGCTCCACTTCTTTCCTGAGTATTGGCCCTTTAAGCTCATAAGCAGTTGGAGCCCTCAACCCTAGCCCAAACTAGCCCTAACTAGAAGCTACTCAAGTTAGCACCATTAAAAGAAATGCCTGCTTGGAACATCCACCTCCCCACATATTAGATGACCCTTTCTCTTTCATCCTTCTTAAAATGGGTCCCTAAAGTTGTTTGACCCCATTCTCGTGGTAATACCTCAGGTTTTAGGGCAGGGGAAGAAAGCATCCATAGGCCCTCTTCTTCTTGGCCTACTAGAAGAACCAACCTCAGTATACATGTCTTCTTCCTCGCTTCGAACTCCAAGAACATCTACAGCCCTTACAAGTTCATCTCGTGTTATCCTTACCTCATGTTTCTTGGCTTTTACCCCTTCCAAGTTCCCTAGCATCTCTCCTGACCTTTGCAGGAACTAGAGTGCATGACGCCACATCCCCTTTGATGCCGGCTAAATGCTTCTTCAATCTGTCGATGCCGGCATTATAACAGTTTTTGCAAAACTTGCACTTGATCATATTCATGTTAAGAGGATTTGGACAAATTCCATGCTTCCAACTTGGATCAGTTGGCTTACTTGATACACTAGAAGTCATTATCCTCAATGAATAATAATTGATCGAGTATCAATCAATGTGAATTAGAATCAATCACCTTATCAATTAACCGGTAAAATACATAAAATTAAAGAAATAAGTCATTAACCATTAATTTACAATAAGACTTAAATGAATAACTGAATATATAAGGCCTTAGTTTCACTCACATAAGACTTAACCCATTAAGATATTACATAATCAATTATTTATCAAATAAAGTAAAAATAATAATAACAGAACATCAAAACATGGCACATTGTACAAAAAAGGAATCAACTATTCATAAAAGAATACGATATATGCTCAATTTCTTCATCCAAATGAGAAAAAAATCAGTTCATCACAAAAACAAAATCAATATTTTAACTACAAACATGAAAATATATTGTAAAAGAAAAAAATAAAAGAAAAAACACATGATTCATAACGTAATATGTCGTAGCAAAATAAAATCAAAACCCTCTTTCAAATATGATTTAAAAATATCAAATCAAATCGATGTTGGTGCTAACGTCATCTATTGGGTCGCCAAAAGTTCTCAAAATCAATCACCAGAAGGGCCAAATCCACCCACAAACTATTGACTTTGTTTTGGGAAGAAATCGAAAAAATAAAAAATTTATCGATCTTTCGAAAATCACAAAAGAATCGTGGTTTTTCTCACCCTAAAGGCCATGTTTTCTGTTTGGGGGTTTATAATACCCCCCAAAACCCTTTTCCCCCTTTTTAGGGGAGGGGGGAGGGGGAAATTACATTTTTTTGACCCTCTCTAAAGATTTTTCTCTGCCCGTCCACAAAGTGTCGCGGTGCAGTGCCTAGGCGGGCCCCTAAACAGTAGTGCCTAGGCAGGCGCCCAGAGACAGGGTGCATAATGATCCCGCCCAGATAGTGCCTAAGCGTTTTTCAAATTTTTTCATCTTGGCGGTCGAATTTTCGAACATTGATCTCAAGCAAGGGAGGAATAAAAGAGCCCAACTATTACTAAGTAAGTTAAGGCACCACTTAACTGTGGTCTCGAATAGAAAGGCATCGATTGAGGAAAAGATTTTCTAATACTGGTTATGTAATGATCATATGGGCAGAAGTCATTGTAACCCAATACAATATTAGTCATGATAGGATTATCATAGAAAATGTCTAGAAAGTCAAAACACCATCTTTCCTTTGCATTAAAAAACAGAGGGGGACATCATGCCCCTCTCTAGTGAGACATATGCTCATGTAACCTGTATACAATTTTCTTTCAAGTAATACAATGGGTGGCATACTTCCAAAACCCCGGTAACCAAGTGAAAAAAGAAATTGGTCACTAGCTAAAAGACTGTGCCTCCGAATCATGATAAGCATCCGCCCTGATAATTTATGCAATACTATGTGTTACAAAACTACCCAAGTAGAAAACAAGAATGCATAAGAGGGTACAAAGTCTGGAACCTCAGTGCTCTAAGTGATGAGGATCTAACAAAAACAGGAATGATTAGATTTAAGAAAAGAAAACAACTCCCATTGTATTCTTTAAGAACAAATCCCCCCTTTCCTGGCAATGAAAACAAATGCTTGGCATGAAAAGACCACAGCGTTCCAAATGGTTCACTGCCATTCCAAATCTTCGTAAGCCAATCAGTAACATAAAACATCCTATGCATTGGTTTTTCGAGAAAGAACATCCTATGCATAGTTGCTTTCGCGCAAACCTTTCCATGCATAGTTGCTTTCGTGCAAACCTTTCCATGCATAGTTGCTTTTGCGCAAACCTTTCTAACAGGAAAGAGACCAGTTCCTCCCTGTGGAGTCACATGCAATGGTAAAAAATCAAAATTCTCTTTCTCAGACAAGTCTTTCCACCGGGTCCTATTCCAAATTCATACATTTTTAAGGGAACTAGAAGCTCTAAGAGTCCATCTGTCCAATCCTCAAACAAGTTCTCTCAATGGCAGCATCAAAATCTTTCCTCGTCCAGCTAAAAGCACTCTAATGTCAAACACATTTAAAACTCATAAGCTTCTTAGAACCTGCTTCTCAAATCCCCCCCTGGCTTGCTGAATTTACTCATGGTACTTTCAGATAAATATTTGGAAATGTTTCACTTTTGGCAATAGAGAAATGCAAATCATGTTGACAGACATGCAACCTACCAAAGAAACATGATTAGTTAAAACCAGTGTTCAAAAGATCGGTCGATTTTTTAAAAATTCGTCGACTAAATTGGGATCGGTCACTGGCCAATCCCGATTTTTCCCGATTCCAACGGTGATGTATTCTAAATTTTTTTTCAGAAAAATGTCGGCCGAATTTTTGAACTAATCAGTACAAATTCGTACTACTCGGTACAAATCGGCCGATTAGTGAACTAATCGGCGATTTTTTCAAAATTGCCCGATTTGTGCACTGTTCCAATGTCACGTTTGAACATTGCCCTATATTCTTATAAATATCGGTTTGGGCTCTATCATTGCCCATTTTCTCTTCCCAGTGTTGGGAAGAGACCTTGGGAAGAATATTCATCATTGAGATGGAGATTTTTGCACTTTTGGGGGTCTATAAGACCCCCATAATCAGGGAAAGGAGCAACAAAAAGTTAGGGCAAGGTCAGGGCAAGGAGCATCTGCAGCTTGTCTCTCCCAACCCCTCTCTCCCCAACCTGAACGTCTCTCTCTCTCACCCCTGGTCAAAGACACAAAGGTCGTGGGCACCGCTCTCAATTATGCCCATAATATTCTTTCTTCGAAACCCAATTATGCCCATAATATTTTTAGGCACCTGAAGCAATTATTGTCACATAATTGGGTTTCTTTCTTCGAGGTAAATGAACTACAAAGCAAGCGAAACACCTACTCTCTAACATGATGCCTTTAAAAAGCCGCACATGCAATTAATGAGAGACTATTTATTACAACATGTTCCACACAAAATGACTAAAGCACAATACAAATGCATTTCACAAAATTCATTTAGTCTGTTAGTTGATGTTCTTGCACTCCTGAAGTTTTATGTCGATTTGAGCATAATGTATATTGTCGACGATTTAATGAAATTGCACATGTCAAATTTATTGGAATTATGAATGTGCATATGTACCTATAATCCTATTTTTAAGATTGAGTTGTACATAAAAACTATAATCCTATTTTTAAGATTGAGTTGTACATAAAAATCGAAGCATAATTGTAGAAATCCTGTGGTAACAAATCATATAATCTATTTTTAAGATGTTAATATTATGAAGGTAACAATCATGTGATTTTATCCATTTTTAACAATCGTGTACAAAAATCACACTTGTATGTATGAGAGTGAGAGAAGCACACATGCTACAAGGACCCTACGAGAGGGGTAGCTTTTGCGAGTACAAGAGAACATGCCACACACATGTAGTTTTATTCATTTTAATTGTCTGGATAACTGCACAGATTTGATCATAAGTATAACTTGCCAGATACATTCAAAGGGCAAATATGTTTTTTTGAAAAAATTTCAGGTACCTAGAATATTTTTCCGAAATCCAATTATGCCCATAACATTTTTTTGTATTTCTTTTTGCACGTGACAGTATAAATAAACAATAAATGGAAATTTTCAATATTTTTACCTTTTTTTTGGAGTTTTTGGGATTTTTTTACCGAAATTACATTTTTTCAAGAAAAAACGGGGCACTAATCGGCCGATTTAGTCGGAATCAGTCCGACTAATCAGATCAAGCCAGGACAGACTAGTCGGCCCGATCCGTTTTTGAACACTGGTTAAAACAAAATTTTTTAATCTTTTTTTTTTAAAAAAAAAGCTCTAATGGAAGATCCTCTAGTATGGATATAAACACCAAAAACTATTCAAAGATGAAGCAAAAATTAAAAGAAAAACTAATGTTGTTTCCTGATGATGCACTTTGCTCAGAAAAAGAATAACCTCCAGAAAAAGTTGGAAAACACTCAGACTACAATAGCTCAACCAAAGTTGGACCACAATATCTTTAGCTTGATGATATACTAACAGGGCGTTTGGAAATTGGGACACTTCAAAAGAGCATTCCGAGAGTAGAGAAGTCAATGCCAAGGGCTTAGAGACCCCAAAACAATATCAACACATCATGGCAAATCCTGCTGAAAAGCCATGTTCTACATTATTTTTGGAAGTGGGTCTCGAGCCCTCTTTAATATAAAGACAAGATGGTTCCACAACTATTGGCTTTTTCCAAACGAGGTACTTTGCCAAAAACGTAGCAAACAGAACCTAAACCATACCAATATCATCTTATGATCAGAAGCCTTCAGACAAAGCCCTTTTTCAAATTCACAGAGATTTCTGTGTGTTGCTTGAGTTGAAGAATACCATTGGATTCATGCTGCATTGTTCTAGCCAGAACATCAAGTACACTGTTCAACATTTAACTACTTTTTATAAGGAGCGCACCTGGAGAAATGTTCAGACAAAGCTCGTATGGTAACTGAATTTGGAAGGAATTCTGGAGTATAGCATGATTGAGTCTTAGTCGCTGCTAGAGAAGAGATACAGAAACTCATGCTGCAACTTTCCAGACCAAGTGTATAAGCGCCGTACTCATTTCAAAATGGATGCAAATAAAAGAAAGTCGAGCTATGAGCTCATTAGGATGATTGGGGAAATTGAATGTCGTCTACTTCACAATGTACTAGTGAGCACGGAGTGATTTTTATGCTTATTTACATCAGCCCTTTAAATTTAGGTTGTTTCAGCAGGCGCAATGTGGTAGCAGCACCCAAGATGCTCTTATTGTGGTGCTTTTAGACAACAAACTATTCTCAATCTGCCACAGTGAAGTGCGGCATTCACTTAGGAATTGGTTTGCTGCTGAGAAGCCTCAATGTGCCACAGTGTCAGCGGCATTGGTAAGCTTCACCAGAGAAGCACTTATTTAAAGGAGTGGGAATTAAAGAACAATGGAATCATCAAGTATAGGAGCAATCCCCAAAAAGATACATTAGGAGTTGGTTTAATGCAATGAAGCCTCCTTCTGCCACAATGGTCGCTGCATTGTAAGCTGTGTCAGAGAAGCGCCTATTGAGAGGAGTGGGAATGTAAGAACAGGAGTTCTTTTAATGCAAAAGAAGGCTTCTGCCACAATGGTTCACTGGTCTCAGACCCAGACAGAAAAAAATAGTTAATACAAGCAATAAAATGTTAAATAAACAGGGACTTATGAGTTAATCATAATGAAACAATTTATGGATTTACTTTTCGTAAGAATATAAATGCAAACTAGAGCTTTTCAAAAACAATGAGCAACAAAATAACTTGAGACCAAGGCATGAATTCTCAAATGCCAACAGGCATTTATGACCAAAACAAGCAAAACAATATCACACCCACAATGGGAATATACTGGATGGTCTATTTACTCACCAATCATGGAGAAGTTCTTATGGAAAGTCAAGAGCTACTTAAAAATATCAATAGAGAAGTTCTTATGGAAAGTCAGAGCTACTTAGAAATGAAAGAGTAAAACAACTCATCGTTTTTGACTTGGTTCTGAAAAGCACATAGCTGACTGACCATTAGACTGAAAATAGAAGCTCATAGCAGTTCCTCATCAATTCCCTATTTGAGAAATGTGGGTTTTGCAGAGGTTCTGTAGGTTATTCCAGTAAGTTTTCACCAACAGAATAACAGCAGAATAGGTCCTAAGGTCAAAGGTAGCACCATAGGAAGAAGGAGAATTTCTTAATAGGAAAGGCAATGATCAAACTCCGCCCTTCAATTAAGCATGAAAACAAATCTGACATGGTTTAAGAAGGGTGAGGACTTTAAACTTTCCCTTAACCCATCCCAAGCCCGGGTAAAGGACGTGCATTGTATTAGATAGGCAACCAATGTAAAACTTTGTGAAAACTTTCCATGAATCCTTGATCTACGTTATTGGCTAATACTACGGCATTCCCCATAAGAGGCATAATGTATCGAAACCGAGTACAGTGAGAAATTAGCTAGGGTTAGCTAAGGCATTTCCCAGAAGCGAAACGTCGAAGCGCCGCCTAGTTGCAGTGGAGTATGAGCAAGGGTTCCTGCAACACTTGGACGAGCACGGATAAAGAAGCTAGTCCAAGAGAAAAGGATTCATTTAGCCACATAAAGTATGGATTAGTAGATGGAATGAGACAAAAGAAAGTAAACATAACTTGTCTACAGGAAACTAAGTGGAAAGGAGAAAAGCTAAAGAAATAGATGGGTATAAACTTTGGTATACAGGAAAAGATAACAATAAAAATGGCATACGCATAACAATAGACAAAGATTTTAAAAGTAGTTAATGTCACGAGAATAGGTGATAGTCTCCTATTAATTGAACTTGTATTAGGAAAAGAGATAACTAACGTAATTGGTGCTTATGAACCACAAGTACGACTAGAGGATAAATTAAGACTATTCTGGGAGGACATATATGGACTGGTCCAAGACATACCAAATGGAGAGAGGACCTTTTTAGGAGGGGACTTTAATAGTCATGTCGGGAAGGATAGTAGAGGTATGAAGGGGTACATGGGGGATATGGGTTTGGTGAAAGAAATGAGGTGGGTGAGGCTATTCTAGATTTTGCTATGGCTTACAACCTAACAATAGCAAATAATTAATTGAAACGAGAAGATCTAATAACCTATAAAAGTGGATTACATAAAAGCCATATAGACTTCTTCCTAGTTAAGAAGGTAGATCGACCATCATGTACCGACTGAACGGTTATCCTAGGAGAGAGTTTGACTACGCAAGATAGGCTCGTGGTAATGAACGTCTGTATAAAGAGATGGAAGAGAAGGGGTGAAATTAATAGGTCCAAGAATTGGGTGATGGAATTTAAAAAAAATTAATAAATAGACTTAATTAGGGATAAATTACTTAAAGAAGGAAAATGAAACTCTGAACAAGAGGTCAAGGCTATGTAGAATGAGATGGCTGATTGTAATAAGAACGAGGCAAAAAAAAATTTAGGAGAAACTAGAGGGAAAGGAAATTCCGATAAGAAAACTTGGTGGTGGAGCAATGAGGTTCAAAAGACCATGAATGAAAAACAATCATGTTATAAAACTTGGCAATATAATAACAAAGATCAAAACTTGAAAGATATAAAAATGTAAGAAAAAAGCAAAACAAATAGTAAGTAAG